CCTCGACCCCCTCACCGTCACCACCTCCCTCGCCCGCCGCTCCGCTGCCGCCGGAGGCCAGCGCGGCCGCCTCCTCGTCTCGCGCCAGCCGCTCCCTGCGCCGCCGCGCTTCTTCGCCGCGCTCCGCCTTTTCCAGCAGCGCCAGCTGCTTGCGCGGGTCCGACACGATCGCCTCGTGGTACATCGGTCGTCGCTCGTCGCCCTCGTACAGCGGCGGAGGGTGCTGGTGCGACGACCAAGACCGGTGCCGCGACGATGCGATCATCGCCTCGAGCATGTTGCGGAACCGCGTCCGCGCCGCCAGGGACAGGTAGTTGAGCACTGCCGCATCGACGCCGAGACCATGCTTTTGGGCTGTGGCGCAAGAGGTGGCGCGGTAGATGAGCCGAGGGTAGCGTATGGTGGATCGGGGCAGGGTCAGTCAGCACACGGAGCCGGAAACGAAGCTGATGGCAGCTGCTCGGCGGCACCCACCGATGGTGTGGACCTTGAAGGCCAGCGGGTAGACTTGAAGGTACAGCTCGCCGTCCTGGTCGTGCTGGGCCTCTGCGGCATTGGTGGTCGAGTGATCGAGGAGGTCTCGTTGCTGGATCGCCTCTTCCTCGGCCTGTACCGTGGGAGCGGCGCGGCGAACGTCGGAGTGAAATCGATGCCCTCAGTATCGTAGCAGAGCGGCAGCGGCCTGGCCCTGCTGAAAGTAGTTTCTCGCTCGAGACTCACCCTGAGATCGACGCCAGAGGCGCCCATGATGTCGACGAGGCTGTCAAAGTTCTCCTTCGTCTCGCTCGCGCCCTGTGCCGATGCCGCTGCACCCGCAGGTGGCTTGGCGGTGGATCCTCCCGGCTGCGCTCCAGCGCCCGCTTTCGGTGGCTGGTCACTTCCGCCTCTGCAAACGGCAAGGCGACAGGGAGAGAATCAGCTGCTGCTTTCGCGTACCGTAGGGACAAAGGGCAAAAGGGACGGCCGGCTCACTTAACCGTGCTGGACGCCATCGCGGTCGGTCCGGAGTCTGTTGGCGTCGAGACGACCGGTCTCGCTGCAGGATCAGGGACGCAGGGAGCCACGTTGAGTCAGAGGATCAGACTGCAGCGCCAAAGGTCAGGAGTGCATGCGAGAGAGGCTCACGAGTAGAGGGCTGTGACGAGGTGGCATGGTCGACCTTGATGCGTTTGGCAGAAGGCGGGTTGGAAGGTTCTCTCTCATGACCCTTGCCGCCGGCTGCCGGGGCCGCCGTAGCGGTGGCAGGAGGATTTGGTACGGATGTAGAGGCGGCTGCTGCGGTGGATGCTGGTGCTGGACTGGAGATGGCGGCGGGCGAGGATGCGACGATGGGCGGAGGGTATGGCGGTGTTGACATTGGTGCTGGTTCCTCTGGTGGTGGTCGATGCGAGAGGATGCTTGCGGTAGGGCGTGGTTCTGCAGACGGCGAGGGGAAATGCTGAGCGTTGAAGGTGAGGACGATGGGCGGCGCGAGGACGTTCGAGAGGTGGCGAGACGGGCGGCAAAGGGGCCGTGCTGAGAGGTGCGATGCGATGCGATGCGATGATGGTGATGATGGTGATGATGGTGATGATGGTGATGATGGTGACTTTGGTGAGGGGTCTTCGTGGGTCGACGTGCCAAAGCCTGAAAGCGAAATCCGACCCACGCCCACCCGCCAGGCTGGCCGGGCGCTCCACACGCGACAACAGACTGCCGCGCGCCCGGCCTCTTGGCCCAGCCTGGCCTGGCCTGGCCCCGAATCCTCCGCTGGCTCGCACGCACACACACACATACACACACACACACACACACACACACACGATATAACTCGTATAATGTATCGNTAGACGTAAGTATTACGCTCACCGAGAGACGTAAAAAGGGNTACGTTGGTAGAAACGTACCA